CGTCCCTCGAATAAGAGATTACATCAGGCTGAGAACTGCCAGAAGTCGATATGGACTATTTTCGGGGTCAGGATTTTCTAACCCTCTCTTTTCTCTCCAGAGTGAAAATGCAGCATAGTTGGCATACCGGTCATCTGACATTAGATCCCTATTTCCCAGCAGTGTGATTTTTCCTATAGACATCTACCCCCCTCCCAACATAGTACAAACAACTATATTATGATTTGACACTAGTGACTAGTGTGATATGTCTAGTCCTTACTTTGGTACAGACTGAATTCTATCAGTCAGGTTTTTGTAATATGGCCATCATTCTAGGTAGCTCACCATCACGGTGCACATTGATTTGATGATATTAGATGGTTGGAGGCAGTCGGCCACAGGAAGCCTTGCTCGACCTAGGTTTCGTGCTAGTTGGCACTCACTCGTCAGCAAAGCAGCAGCACTGGGTGATGTGGGTTCGAATCTCAGAGGGGTGGGACATGAGTTCCACTGAGGTTGCAGATACGCCTTGCTTACTGACTGGTGATTGTCAAATAGCACGAAATCTAGGTTGAGCGAGGCTTCCAACCATCTAATAACAAACAACTGTGACTATTAAGGTAATTTAACAGTACAACTTAATCAGATGTTGAAAGATTTATTTAACTCTCTAGCTAACTAATATACAGCATACATATGTAAACATTCTGTTAAAAAAAACGGATGAAAGTCAGAATTCTATTTTACAAAATGTATTAAATTACAATGAAACAATAGTAATAATAATAATAAGACGCTAATGTATCAGTTAAAATTAAACAACTTACTGGTCATTGTGTGAACTTTATGCCAAACATATATTATGACTTTTTCGGTTATAATTATTTTTGTTCCAGACATTTGAATGCATAAACATAAATGCCAAGTGGACTTTCTTAGACCCGATTAAACCATTCCTAGTCATCTACGCAGATCATTTTTGATTTCATTATTAGATGGAGGATTTCATCATGAGCAGACATATCAGTTAGAGAACCACTGGAAAACCAACTGGGAGTACTGGACATATGTTTCGTCCTAGTTTGGGTTTCTTCAACAGTACGCACCCCACCGACAGGGTTCGAACCCAGGACCTTCTGGTTACAAGGGGAACTCGTAAATCATTGAGTCACTAGGACCCAATCCAATGACCAGCCAATGAATTCTAACTTCTGCCAATTCACGAGATAGCGCGACCATTTCGCAATGTCTTCTTCGATGAGTTACTGCCTCATCTTCAACCTGTTGTACCCTACTGGTCACGGCTTCCCACTAGAACCCCAGGTCACTGCCTGAATAGGGCCAATCACTAGTGAGCATCAGATTAATTTTCAGGTATTGGTTTCGTAGGGATTTTGTTTGATTGGATGGAGGATTTCATCATGTGCTGAGCTGTCCAGTACTCTCAGTTGGTTTTCCAGTGGTTCTCTAATTGATGTACCCTCATGATGAAATTCTCCATCCAATCAAACAAAACCAATACTTGAAGATTTCATTATTATTATTAATGTTATTATTATTGTTTGCCTAACGAAAGACAGACCACGATTCTTTAAATGTGAACCATCCCCCCCCCCATGGATCGTGTTAAGTAATTTATAATGATTCAGTCCGACCCAGGGCTCATATTATTCCAGGAAATTCATAACACATCTACGGTTTCGATATTTACAACCCCCCGTATCTAGTAAAATTGATGGTTAAATTCCTAATATAGATTGCGTCACGAACAGATACCAGTTAGAAAATCAATGAAAAACAAGGAGCACGGGGACAGTTGTCCCATCCTAATTCGGGACTCTTCCAAAGTGACAGAAAGAACCTATCCCAAACTATAAATATGGATAAATATTGCAAATTCAAGAAAATAACTGTATCAGGTACCCTCCTAAATACACAACCATATAACTGGTAATATTTCTTTGATGTCTGATGCAGCGGATGTCCTATTACAGTTATGTTACCAGATAATCATGTTAGGATGAAGGTTAAATCATTGTCCCACTGTTGTCCACTGTAAGAATCGTTCTGTTAGCTAATGCGAATTGGGTTTTATGCCCTTCCTCTGATAACAGTACTGTTCAATAAACCCCTACTAAAATTTGTTTTTAACTATACTGTTCTGTAAAAGGTCACTTCCTTCACTTATATCTAAGCAGCAGCATTTCAACTACACAGGCGAACGGCACAAATGACGATTTCAAAAGGCAAAGTGGACTTTTATCACTCTCAAATCAGTTCAGAAGTCCTCTGCACTCATTCAGCATTCAAATTTTTAACACCATTCTTAAGTGAGTTAATTCTTGTATATGGCCAAGAAACTTGGCGTTCGCGTCAACGAAAGCATTTCTAACAGGCTGTTGCAGACTTTTATCAACCAACAGCTGCCTTCTCTGGCGCCATACTGAAGATCAAATGGCCGACCAGATAGAATTAGTAACAAGAAACTATTGGAATAAACCAGCCAAGAACCAACTGTCCAACAAATACGCCTAAGAAAATGGAGGTGGATTGGGCACACGTTGAGGAGGCCATTGAATGATACCGCGGCGCATCAGGCCATCACTCGAGTGGAACCCAAATGGGAAACGACGAGTTGGGCAAGGGTCCGAGGGTACTAGCTTAAGAGGATCGTGGAGAATAGGATAAAGTGGAGATGCGCTACTGAAGCCCTATGTTCGGCTAGGAACCTAGGGGAACAATAATAACAATAGGATTTTACAAAAAGAAAGATATACACATTGAAACGTTACATAGGCTTGTTATATAGACCTAATTTTCTCAAAATACTACATTTATCTTTCTTTACAGTGCTGTTTGTATTCCCCGCACTTGTGACTTTGAAACCCTATTGGTTGTTGACTATTTCAACTTACGAATGTAATTAGTATCTCTCAAGGCCATTCATAGCATACATATACGCAACTGATGTCAGCCTTATTCTCTGTTGATTTGAGACAGTAAAGGCTTTCTACATCAACTGTCTGTCTTCCTGCATCGTGGGTTCTGTGGTATCATATCGCATTGTTTTTGTTGCGAATATTGATTAGAAAAGTAGGCTCATGAATCGACTAGACAGGAAGTTCGTTAGCGCAAACTATTCAAGTGTATTAACGGTTAAATCAAAACTAGAAGACTGAAAATTATCTATGAATTTAATGAAGCCAAAAATTTACACTTTCTAGTGACAATTTATTTCATAATGTTCTGGATATGAATGATATTCTGATAACGATTAATTAAACCCACACCAGGAACATGTCAAGTGAATTGCTTTCTTGTCATGTATCTTCTATGAATAACTTTTCTGCCGAACAGTAGTAATACACGATGAATAGCTGCCTTTGCTCGCTACTGAAGATCAGATGACCGTCCAGAAAGCATAAACAGTAAGGAACTCTGGCAATGCGAGCAATCAAAAACCTGCTGTCGAACAAATATGCAAAAGGAAATCAAGATGGATTCGACATACGCAGTAGAGACTGTTGGCTGACATCACACTTCAGGCTCTATAATGAGACCTGAGTGGGAGACGACATCTGGAAGTCCGAACTGATTGTATGAAGAGAACATGAAAGCTTATGGACAGCCGTTTAGCCGATTAAGAGAGACTGCAGAGGACCCAATGAAATAGCGATGTACTACTGTTGCAGCCCTATTTTCCACTCGGAACCCAAGCTGAATAATAATAATTTGAATAAAGCAAGAACAACAGTTTTTGCAGAATAAAGTGGTACCATCATCTATTTCGTTGGCTTCTCATCAGCTGCTTTTACAGGCCAAAGTCATTATTAAGTATATCTACAAAAACAATATTAACATACTTGCACAGAGATCATTTTTGAACAAAAATCAATCAGTATATGCATACAGTAATTATATATATATATATATGTAATATTAAACACTATTCCGGACAATAGTGATCATACATAATGGAAACTTTTGGCATTGCGTATTCAGATGAAAGAGTGGTGAAAATATCCAGTTACCAGGTTGGCAAAGAAAGACTGATAACTGTTTCTTTCTGAACGCACAAATCAGGTTTCAGGCGCTTGATGGAGATGGCTTCAGCAAACTTGAGGAGAATTGAACTCTTTTGCCTAATGATAATTTTGAGCGATTTTGCGACGTCCACCTCATGACCCGTGTCAAGGAGATGCCTGACGATGGCACTGTTTTAAGCATTTGTTCCCTTTAGACATAACCTTTTTGGTACATGTTGTATTTGGAGAAATTGTGACGTTTTCCCAGAAAATCCTCAGGAGTTTATCTGTAATCTGTTGAGTCTCTGAAGTTAAATCACGTTGAAATGGAAGCGCTTAAATCTTGGATTCAACTTTCATATCCCAAATAAGTTTGTCGAAGGAACCGATATCGCAGTTCATATATTGATTGATTTTTGTTTAAAATGAACTCTGTGCAAGTTTGTTAATATTGTTTCTGTAGATATACTTAATAATGACTTTGGCCTGTAAGCAGCTGATGAGAAGCCAACGAAATAACCACTGATGATACCACTTTATTCTGCAAAAACTGTAGTTCCCGCTTTATTCAAATTCATTAAGGGGAATTATTGTATGAAATAATAATAATAGTAATCAATGATCAATGGATTGTTCAGTTTTGTTTTGTCGTATCATTAAATTAGAAATGAAGCAAAATTGTGGGAATTCTCACAATCAGATATCTAAATCCTAATTCCTTTTCTTCTGTCTTATCATGATTTATTTATTTGTTTGTTTTGATCACTATACCAGTGAGTGAGTAATATCCATTTTTAAGCATAGAAAGTTAAGTAGAACAAACATTAACTGATAAACTGGGGAAAGTGGATAAGTGGAATTATAGAAGGAAAAAGTTTTTTTTTTAAATATTTTTTGTGAAGCGGAAGGGGCTGAATTAATTGATAAATAATAAATTAAATAAATAAATATGTATTAAATTGCTTTTTTCTCCCCCTAAATATTCTAATTTAGAATCGATTTTTCACCGGCCTTACAATCCCATTTTATTCATACGGATTTATTAATGCTGTGATTTTCACTGTGTACAAAAAGTCATTGAATGTATTCGATTCACGAGTTCAATCGCCATTGGCTAATGCAATGGCTGGTGCTGTATCCGGTGCTGTACAATTAATACCTGCTGTTCCAGTTGAAGTTATTAAAATACAACAACAATGTCATTTGGGTAAGTTCAGTATGGAATGATTCTGTATGGTCATTGTATTTGTTTTTCTATCTTAGACTTACTTTGTAGCTCATCCATCAATCAGTCGAAAGGTTTCACATTCGAAACCCTTTAAAAAAATGAGTGAGACTTGAAAAATTTTGTTCAATGGAGGAAGTTGATCAGTATTAAGACTTTGTTGGCTACAACAGACAGTTAGCATTTGGCCGACTACTACTTCGTCGACGTTGACGAATCTTACAGAAGATGAATTGTAACCTCAATAATAACGTATATTGTCCAGGTTTCCTAAGAATGTTTTTTCTTTTTAGCACAATATATGTTAGTTAGTAAGTGAGAGCTTATTTCTGAGGTGCTAGGCTGTGTGAGCCACACTTGTTATGTGATAGATAGCTAATAAGACTACCCAGACGCCTAGGCTGATGCAGGTATAGGGTGGGATTCGAAACTGACAGCCGTTGGATAGAAGTTGAGTGATTAGGTGAATGACCTACATAATAGAGAAGATTTTTAGCTCAGGTGGATGATTTGCAATTAATAATGTTCTCTTAGCTGTTTGGTTTAGTTGCGGAGCTTTCGTCGTCCTTCTGGACAACATCTTCAGCGCAATATTTAGCATAAAGTGAAATGATCCAAGAACACAAATCAGCTGTGAAAAGACACGACATATATTCTTTAGTATCAATGCATATAGACAATTATGGTCATCAATTTGATTGGGATCATGTCAAAATCTTAGACAGAGGAAACACCAAAAGTGCAGTCAGGGAATTCCTAGAAGCCTGGTACTCAAACGAATGTGCGATTAACAAACATGTTAATATAGACCAAATATACCAACTAATAAAAAGTAAATCAGGTGACCAGAAAGTTTAAAATCCAAGTCAATAGAAGACGATCAATACATGTGTAAGGATAGTTACCAGGAGACGCAATTATATCACTCATGAAGAAATTTAAATCATTTCACTTTGTGCTAAATATGGCGCTGAAGATGTTGTCCAGAAGGACGACGAAAGCTCCGCAACTAAACCAACCAGCTCAGAGAACATTATTAATTGCGAATGACCTACATCTCCATGCAATGTGTGTATGAGCTGTCTCAATCAGTTAGTACTTACACTCTGAATAGGATAAATGTTGACTGATGGTAAAAAGCAAGTAATAAAGTTATTCAAATAGAATTTTGACGCTATTATCTTAATTTATTGTATTATTTTATAAGGCTACAGGAATTATAAATTCCAAAGATTAACAACAATAAGCAAATTATATCCTTTCGATTGAACGATAATATCATACATACAGCCACTTGCAAACAGGATATTACGAGCCCGTTTTATTTCATGGATTCTCCTCAACTGAGGACATCCAAAACAAAATCAAAATATAAGTTACACAAAGTCTGACTCAACATACTTACTTCACTCCCAGTGACGTCGTCTAGTTATTACATAGAAGGTATAAGTGCAACATAATTCCAAAAATGATGTAAGTAGACTAATTACTCGGTGTTAAGTGTCCAACTATTTTGATGGGTGTTTGTGTTCTCTGAACTGGATGGTTTAATTTAAGAATCTTTCATTGCCTTACTAAGCAACATCCTCGGCGCATACTTGAACTTGTGAAGGGTAACTGTGTACACAATAATTAAACAACTGGGTTAAAGTTCAAATTTTGCTTGGAAACAAGGATGAACCAGAGACAAAATACAAGATCAAACAACAGAGCGAATTTATGCATACTAATGATGGAGAGTTCAGAAGGGGGGGGGTAAAATTATTTGGCAGACAAAACACTTAAAGAGATTTGGAACCTTAATAGTGAGTGTTCAACTCAGTGAGTGGAAGTCAAAGTCAAAATTAAGCTGGATATTACGCAACAGGAGAGAATACAAAAGCAGACAAACAAAACGGTCGCAGTTACCAGGGTAATGAGCAATAATTAGTCACACTAACTTTCTGTACTCAGAGGTTTGGTGTCACTGTCTTTTGATAGCAGACATTGTCCTTACCTTGGCCATCTAGGTTTGAATGATCCTGAATTTTTGTGGAATTTTTCTAATTTTAGTTGATATTTTATTTGCTATTATATCTTTATTATTATTATTATTTAAGCATCTTTAATGAACTGTGGTAATCCCATTGATCTTACTTTACAAATCGATATTATTTAAAAAACACTAATGCTGTTATGGACTACTATTCTAGAATATCCTATGTATATAAACATATAGAACTGTAGAGTCAGAAGAGGAAGTTATCGAAAAGGATATTCTTCGCTCAGTTATTTTGTGTTTTTTATAAATGTCTGAATGAATATATTCGCTGGATATATATAATTGTAGAGCTGGAAGGGGGATCTGTCGAAGAGAATATTCATTCCTCCTACTTTCTTTTGTATTATATAATAATAATTATTATTTATCATTTTTAGGTGGTAAACAATTAACAACCCGTGAATGTATTCGTACTATACTACGTGTTAAAGGCATTCATGGACTTTATTCAGGAACAATAATTCAAGCATTTCGTGATATACCAGGCTTTGCTACTTATTTTTATATTTATTCTGAATCAATTAAAATGGGCAAATCTAATGGATTGTCTACATTTTGGTCTGCTTTTATTGGTGGTGCTATAGGTGGAACATTATCATGGTGTATTTCAATGCCATTTGTAAGTGCCTTCCTTCATTTAATAAATAAAAGAAAAGAAACAATATTTATAATCATTATAATAAAGGATTTTTGTATTTCCCAATGAAATGGAAAAAAAAACCCATATAAATATCTAGACTTCCGATCATCATACCCCATCAGAGAAAAGGTATCGGTTGTTCCAAGTCTTCCTAGACGAGCACACTCTCTGATGTTAACGGATGAGAAAGAAAAAGAAGAAGAAATAGCAAACTTTACTGATATTCTCAAGTAAAACAACTACCCAAAGAAATTCATTAACAAAATCAACACTGACATTAAGTACGGTCGAAAATGTATTCCGAAAACATGGACCGCAACAGTTGTCATTCCATATAGAGCGGAAGTGTCAGACGATATCAGAAGAGTACTCAATAAGCTCGACATCAGAGTTTTCTTCAAAACATCAGACACACTGCGAAACAACCTTGTCCATATAAAAGACCAAATCCCTAAGGACTCTCTATCTAATTGTGTCTATAAAATGAAATGCTTGGAATGTGATGCTATATACATCGGACAAACATCGCCACTGAAAAATCAAAATCTGAAGAAATGAGCACTGCAGAGTTACCTTTGTTCAACCACTGAGAAATCCAGTTGAACAAGAAAAATCATCAGCCATGGCTTGTCTACACGCCAAACTATAGAATCAGGCTACAAAATTGATTTTGACAATATTGAAATCACAAACCAGAAAAATTTCTGAAAACACAAAGAACGTCTGATATCATCAGAAGCACTTCATATCAAATGGAATCCAAATTGTCTGAATAGGAATGATGAACTGAAACATAATTTGACCTGGTTACAACACACGCCTTCCCCATGAAGTGACAAAATCAACACGAATGTGATAAGCAATTTCACTTTATTTTGTTTCGTTCTCTTCAGTCCTCTTCAGCTAGTCCAAAGATCGCGCATAATCTTTCATCTTCGCCTTACAATATCTCCTCCACGTCACCCTCAGATTCACCCCCGACTCGTCCTTTTTTCACTCGGGTTTCACTCATATGATGGCTTGGCGTGCGATGTTACCCGACAGCCTCCTCAGTGTGTGCCTCTTGCAAAATATTTACTCCTCCTTGTAGGGTCTTCAAGTAAATATTCACTGACAGTATATCATCATATGACGCAACGTCATTCTATCTGAAACAAGACTAAATCCCCTATGTCAATTTTCTTTCCTTTTCTTCTTGAAGTTCCCAGTGATTGGTTCGACGTCAATTAACAATTTGCGTGAGTTCATACTGAGATCCAAGGATATAATTAGGAGATAAAAACAACAAGAAACCGAAAAAGATATATGCATTATGCTGGGTAGAAATTGAAGTGATGATACTACCCAGCTGCCTAGGTTGTATCAGGCACAACAGGATTCGAACCCAGGACCCATTGGTGAAAAGTTGACTCCTTAAATCAATCAGCTACATCATCTCTGGCATGTAGTAAAGAGAGTTTTTACGAGTTACTCTGTAGGGATTTGGTGTGTTTCAAGTTTGATCACGGATTGATATCTCAGTTACAGAGCTACTGAAAACTAGAACTGGAGTACTGGACACATACATGTTTTGGCTTAGTTTAGGACTCATCGCCAGTACGCACCCACTGGGTTTTGAATCCTACAAACAAAGTCCTGAAAATTAATCTAATGCTCACTAGTCACTGGTTTCAGGACGAAGTTGCCTGGAGTTCTATTGGGAAGTCATGACTAGCGGGGTCCACGCAGTCGGGAGTGAGAGTACACAGAATGTTTAGAATTAAACACAAGCTTTCGATCAGATTAGTTAGTATTACATGGTTTGAGACAATTGGTAGAAGGGTTTGGAAATACGTTTCGTGCTTATTGTTACTCACCAGTCAGTTAGGTGACTTTACAAGGTGGTTTGAAGGAATTCATTTCTCTCCTGAGATTCGAACCCGTCTATTAGGTTTCCTTCTGTAAGATTGTTTTAGATACTTCATTCAACATTAGGTAGTTAGTAACTGGTGCCATATATTTACCCTTTTGTTTGGTACATACTGAATTCTATCAGTCAGAGGGGACATGATTTCTTCACGATTGTTGATACGCTTTGTGCCAACGAGTATTAACAAGCACGAAACCTTGGCCTAGTTTGGGCTTCCTACCGATTGCCTCCATCTAACTGTGCCATGATGGAGAGCCACCTGGTATGGTGGTTACATTGAAAACAAAGGACTTCACACATTACAACTAGTTAGTAACTAGTTTCCAATCAAAGTACAGATTATTATTATTATTATTAATTCCTTTAATTCCTAGAGAAACGTAGGGCTTCAGCCACACGTTTCCATTGCCTTCGGTTCTCTGCTAGAGTCTTCACCTGGCTCCAAGTCTGCCCACACGTTTTCATCTCCTCTTCACATGACCTCCTCCAAGTCACCCTTGCACTGACGACCAACTCGCCGCTTCCCTTTCGGGTTCCACTCGAGCGATGGTCTGGCGTGTGATGTCACTTGATGGTTTGTTTTCTCAGAGTATGGCCAATCCATCTCCATTTCTTCCTGCCTATTTGTTTCACAATCGGTTCCTGGTTGGTTCGCTCACTGCCAGAGATATCTGTTGCTGATCTTTTCTGGCCGGCCATCTGATCTTGAGTGGTATTGAGCGTAGAAAGCTGTTGATGAAGGTCTGTAGTTTGTTTGAGATGCTCTTTATGACGTGCAGTGCAAGTCTCTGATCCGTATAGCAAGTAACACTGACTTCACATTGGAGTTGAAAATCCGGATCTTATTTTTGATACTGAGTGTTGTTGACCCTCCACACAGACTTGAGAGTAGTGCAAGCTTGTCTTGCTTTTCCGATTCTTGCTTTGATATCCTCATCAGTTCCATCTGCCTGTAGTTGAAACGATGCTTCCCAGGTAGGTAAAAGAGGTTGTTTATTTCAGGTTCCTCCCATTTATGATGATTGTTGTTTGTTGTTGTTGTTGCTGGTGGTGGTGTTGCCCAGGAATCTTCATCACCTCTGTTTTCTCAATGTTCACCTGAATTGAAGTCCCATCTTTGATGCTTCTTCTGACAACTTGTTGCTTTTCGCTTGCATATCTTCCAGTTTGTGGGAAATCGAACATATATCATCGGCGAAGTCCAGATCCTCCAAGTTTTTTGCGTGAGTCCATTTTATGCCTAAGTACAGATTAGTTAACATGCTAATTAATTCTTAATAATACAAATACTAATATTATTTGCATTTTTGTATTTATTTATTTGTATTAGGATGTCATAAAAACACGACAACAAGTTGCTAATGGTATCACAGCTTCAAGTGTTATAACAAAATTATTAAATGAAAAAAGTTATAAAATATTTTTCCGTGGATTTCATGTTGTCATTGTAAGAGCACTATTAGTCAATGCGTGTACATTTGGAGTTTATGAAACAGTTTACGATTATCTTACAAAAGATTAAATACTTTTCTCCCATTGTATTCCGCATTTTCCTCATTTTGTGTTTTTTTTATCACATACCTTGAGACGTTTTATGCTTCCTAATATATGCAAAAATACGATGAAGTATGTAACTATCTTTGTGAAAATGATTTCATATATATATGTATTATTAGATTAGATTTTATTACCTAAAATATAAATGTAGTTGTATGAAAGCAACTTTCTTCGTTACACATTCTATTATTATTATTATTGTTCTCTTGGGTTCCTAGTGGAACATAGGGCTTCAATTACACGTCTCCACTTGCTTCTGTCTTCTGCTGTACTTTTCACTTGCATCCATGTTAGTCCATACTGTTTCAACTCTTCTTCACATGATCTCCTCCATGTCACCCTTGGACGTCCCACTCGCCGCTTCCCTTTCGGGTTCCACTCGAACAGTGGCCTGACGCGCGATGTCACCCAGTGGCCTCCTCAGCGAGTGTTCAATCCACCTCCACTTTCTCCTGCATATTTGTAAGGCGATTGGTTCTTGTTTTGTTTGTTCCCATAGTTTCTTGTTGGTGATTCTTTCCGGCCATCTGATCCTCAGTATAGAACGAAGACAGTTGTTGATAAAGGTCTGCAACAGGCTGTTGGAAATATTCTTTGTGACCCTCCAAGTTTCTGATCCGTATAGAAGAACTCACTTGACGTTTGTATTGAAAATCCAAATTTTGCTGTTGATGCTGAGTTGAGTGACGAAGATTTCCAGATTGGTTTCAGGTTGGTGAATGTGTTTCTCGCCTTCCCGATTCTCCATTTGACATCCTCGTCCGTTCCTCCTGTAGTTGAGACAATGCTCCCTAGATAAGTGAAAGAAGTAACCTGTTCCAAATTCCTCCCGTTGATGATGATTGGCGCTGGATATTGCGGCTGTTGTTGTCGTTGTTGGTTGGTTATTTTCATAACCTCCGTCTTGTCTATGTTCACCTGGAGTCCTGTCCTGTCTTTGCTGCTTCTTCGACCAGTTTGTCGGTTTTCGCTTGTAAGTTTTCGATTTTGTGTGACATCAAACATAAATCATCTCTACATTGAGTAATGATTAAAAAACGTTGGACCGAGGGTATGAGTTCCGTTCTACTCAAGACTGCATACTTGAGCATACATATAACCCAGTGTGACTTAAACTCATAACTTGTATGTTTTTTTAAAAAAACCACTCGATAAAAACACTATTTTTGAATTTAGTCTAATATGATTGATATCCATCTTACGTTTTCTTTTTTTTTGAGGACTTAGCAGTTGTGAATGGTTCTTCATTCAAGTAAGCGTTGTAGGTTCGCTACACCAAATAAAGCCTTAAACTGACTATTTTTGATGTGGTCGATTATTGTTACAAAAAAAAAAATTATGGCCGTCAGCAGGTAATACCGGTGAATATAAATAAATAAGGGTAATCCTGAAGGACAGTTACTCATATTTCTGCTGAATTAGAAACAAGATGTTTGAAACAATGAAACACACTTAGAGCTGTTGATTAACCTTTTAAGGTGATTTGTAGATATTCAGATGTTGGTTTGCAGGGATTTAATTGGTTTCAGGACTGCATCATCAGCTGAAATCAGTTAAAGAACAGTTGGAAAACCTGGGAGTATCGGGAAGCTGTTTTGTCTTAGTTCGGGACTCGTCAATAACATGCACCAACAGGGGCTCGGACTCAACCCAGGTCCTCCCGTTTACGAAGCCAGCAGAAGTAACAGAAGTTGGGATTCGTTGGCTATTAGATCGATTCTCAGTGGCTAAATCGTTTACGAGCTCGCCTTGTAACCGGAAGACCCTGGGTCCGAACCGTGGTGGTAGGTGCATGCTGTCGAAGAGTCCCGAACTAGGACGAAACAGCTGTCCAGTACTCCCAGTTGGTATTTCAATGGTTCTGTAACTGATATCAGCTCATGATAAAATCCTGATTTGTAGATATTGTTCTTTAGTAAATATTGCCACATGTAGAAGAAAAGTGTTAGAAGGAATTAATATACTTGCCTAAACATCAACCGTTCCTTATTAGAAGCAGTTTCATTGCGTAATCTAACTTTTTTTAGCGCATATAATATAACATGATCTGAATGGTGACTATCATGGTACAGGCATTCAAGGAACACAACCATTGTAAACTAAAATATCATGAAACTGGTGCTTTTTTAAAATCTGATTATTACATGAGTCGATACCTACTGGATTAATAAAAAACATATAAGAAACTGTTCCTTTACCTACCTGGGAAGCATCGTTCCAACTACAGGCGAACGGAACTGACGAGGATATCAAAGCGAGGATCGAGAAAGCAAGGCAAGCTTTCATTTCTCGCAAGTCTCTGTGGGGGTCGACAACACTACTCAGCATCAAGAATAAGATCCGGATTTTCAACTCCAATGTGAAGTCAGTGTTACTTGCTATACGGATCAGAGACTTGGTGCGTCATGAAGAGCACCTCAAACAAACCTTTATCAACAGCTTTCTTCTCTCAAGATCAGATGACCAGAAAAGAGAAGCAACAGGGGTCTCTGGGAGTGAACCAACCAGGAACCGACTGTACAACAAATAGGCAGGAAGAAATGGAGATGGATTGGCCATACTCCGAGGAAACCATCAAGTGACATCACACACCAGGCCATCGCTCGAGTGGAACCCAAACGGGAAGTGCCGAGTTGGTCATCAGTGCGAGGATGACATGGAGGAGGTGATGCGAAGAGGAGATGGAAGCATGTGGGCAGACGTGAAGTCATGTGTAAACGTTGGCAGAGAACCGAAGGCAATAGAAACGTTTAGCTGAAGCCCTACGTTTCTCTAAGAATTAAAGGAAACTGTAAGTGGTTTGACTGATAAATTAACTTATGACCGTCTTATATATATATATATATATATATATATACCTTTCCAAGATGAACTTGGAAATGAATCATCAAAAGTATTTTTATAAAACTTGTTTTCAATTTTCGCTGAAGATTTGAATAGAATTTCCGGGAAATATTCACACTGACTGACACTAGATGCTTTACTTTGACAGCTATCGTATGCAAAACTGATATATTCCACGTCACCATCTTCAAGAAGAAAGCATCACCAGCTTTATGATGTTGAACCTGCTAGCTGGCTACAAGTTTGATCATGAGCTGACACCAGATAAAGAACCAGTGGAAAACTTGGGAATACTGGATAGCCGTTTCGCTCTCCTTTGAGACTTTTCATCAGGACACTGGTATTCCAACTCAGAACCTTCCAAATACATGGCGAGTTCGTAAACCATTCAGACACTGGGACCCGAATCAATGGTACATGAATTCCAATTTCTGCCAATCTACCGTATACATAGCGCGACGGCCAGCCATTATCATAAGCTAGCTGTGTATGTGTGTGTTCTCTTTTAAGGAGTACGGGGTAGGGAAACAGGTAACTGTCGTATAATTTTGTTGGAGCATTCAAGCGATAGTCGTGATCAACGCGAAGGTTGTGTCCCTATTTCAATCTCAACGTGTTGTGAAACATAACAAATAGTTTGAAGTGTTATCAATTTATCTTTGATAAGAATGAAAATATGTCCCCCTTATAAAAACTATATAAATCAATATAAGAATAAAACTTGTGCACTGTGGTAGAGTGTAATTCCATTATAGGTAAATTTTATTTTGATAAAGTCTCTCAGTGTTATACAGTAATGTTTACTGATGACGTTTCGAGCACAATTTATTGCTCATAATCATATCAAGGTAATCACACGACTTCCTAAATTCATTTATATAGTTCCATTGTTTTTCACTTGATTTGATTGGTACATTTGATTGGGAAAAGCTCTGCAGGTTAAAGGACCCAGTTGACCCAATTAGACAAAATAATATAATTTACAAAATACCTTGCAATCACTGTGAGTGAGGTCAACTACATAGGTCAGACTAGTAGGTCAGGGGTAGTCAGATTGTCAGAACATAAGAATTTAGCTAAGGTAAGAATGGTTGACCCAGAGAAGATAAGTAATTTAGAAAAAAGCTCAGCAATTGCAATGCATGCATTAACACACAACCACACAATAGTGTGGTGGGAGAGGGTTAAAATTCTAAAAAGTAATCTAGGTGGGTGGAGAGAGAGGTTGATTACTGAATCCTTGTTCATCGAATCTACACCCAACACATGTAATAGGAATGATTGATGACTCATACCCGAAATATGGAAAATAATACTACCAATCAAATCAAGTGAAAAACAATGGAACTATATAAATGAATTTAGGAAGTCGTGTGATTACCGTGATATGATTATGAGCAATAAATTGTGCTCGAAACGTCATTAGTAAATATTACTGTATAACACTGTGAGACTCTATCAAAACAAAAAAAACTTACCCATAATGGAACTATATAAATCAGCTTAATTAGATCTGACCTTCTGAAAAATATATTCAAACGCCGTGTGTAGGCTGTGCAAAATAACAACGTGATTGAAAACCTGAGAGTATCACTCACCCATCCTCTAGTATCTTAATAATAAGAATTCTTGACCTTACTACAACAGTGTTTGCTTATATACATAAACAAGGAAAGAAGAACAACAGCATTTTAATTTACATTTATAACGTGTTGTAGATTGATTCTCGTAAATGCATCACATAACAAAATGACAAAGAAAAGAAGAGTAAAAGAGAGTAGACACCACAAAATAGAAATCAAATCAGAATACTTTTTTCTAACTTTGAGAAAATAAAACAAAGTGGGAGGGTCGGGGGGACGAAGGAATACTTCTTTTGAGTTGTACGTTTAGAGGACAACAATTAATTAATCAAAATATGGCATCATCGTTCGTTTTAATGACTCAATATGTTTGTGTGTGTGTGACAAGATTTAAATGCACGGCGAGAAAAGAAAGTTTACACCGAAGTGAACACAAAGGAGGAAGAGAGGGAGAGAGTGAGAGTGGGTGAGTGAGAGGGAGATATAAGCAGCAGTTATACATTCACAAACACCAACAACTATACGCAGATCTGACAAATGAGGTGGTGGGGTCAGTTTATTTATTTATTTATTGATCCACATAAATTTATTTCTAATCGCACATCTTTAAATGCTTGTACATGAGTAAATAAATGACTG